CTTGCTTTTATGGTTGTTTACATTGTCTGATTGTCTAATTGGATTTTACTCAAACAGACACCATATAATAGGGAGATGATTACATACACTTTCTGTTTATAAGTATATGACAGAACTTGTTTCTGATGATTCCCACAGTTTTGAGAACATCACAGGTGTGTGAAGCAGACAGAATGGAGTCAGTGTGGGAGTCACATCTAGTGCGCACTTTACATACTGTAAATATGAGTATTTACGGTCACGTGAGTCAGCAATGTCATAATTAGCCTTGTGCACTCCTCCAGAATTAGGCAATCTATCTCTTTGCTGCTTGTTCTCCCAATGTAGTGTTCAAGCCCCCTTTACTGGTACATATTGGTACTGTCCCTCAGTTTTTTTCTGCTCTTAGGCTCCCTGCACAAGCCATTCCAATGGGTATAAACTCTTTTCATGTTAAGACACACATCAATCCACACCTACAACATACCTGAGGAAACAAACCTTCTCTCAGAATATGTGCTGTGTGTGTGTGGGACGAACATGGCTGGACACGTCCCGTAAAAGACACCGGGAGGCGCCCAGCAGGAGTGCCGGGAGCCCCTCTTTTCAACACTGCCACTGCACATAAACACACTTGCCCTTCCCATGGTCCTTTTGTTCCCTATCATTTTGTTGAAGTTCCTGTCATGGACACTGTCAGCTTCTATGGGCTAATACAGTTATTCTACTCTGTCAGGTACTCTCACCAAATTCACAATATGCTCAAAATGGTAGCTCCCTGCAGACTAATACCATGCATATGCTTCTTGATTAAAAAAAAGGTCATTGCAAATGCACACATTTGAGACTCAATTCCATTCCATTTTTGTAACGGCCTAAATCACAACAACTGGTGACTTTACAAAGTTAATCGATTACCCAACACAGATCAGAGAATCAAACAGTTTCAAACACAGGAAATCCAATAATAAAAAAACACAAAGGAGCCTTTAGTCCACAGGGGCAGATTACCTAATGTTCATGAATGTTCATAAATATCACCAACCTCCTGCATCAGCAAGGAATAATGTAGACAATTTCACGATTTCTAGCACTGTTTATTTAGCATGGATGTACAAAATCTGAGATATTAGGCGAATGAGATTTTCAGACCATAAGATATTTAACTTTGTGTCCAAACTGTATGTGTTAGGAAGTTTAATTTATGATGGACTTCAACAGTTCTGTAGATTTAGAGAGAATTTGTCCTTGCTGAAAGAGAAAATACATCATTTCTACTACATTTTAAATGCATTGATTGGACTAAACCGAACCATCTCCAACATTGAGGCCCTTAAGCTATTTATACAAACCTTAGGTGCCCTGCAATTGAAATCACTGTTGTCATCTATAAACCAGTTTGTGGAAAAAGGAATGTACTTTCTGTGGCATTTTGCCCAAAGCTAGACTGATCTGCAAGCAAAACAACATGAAATGTGTGCCCGCCAGCTCTATCCTCCCTCTTTGGACTGTGCAATAATAGGACGCTTCCACAACATGACAAGACAACGTTGATCACAACAGTAATTGGCGTGATCCCACTGACAACAGGCCTGTGTTACGGGCAATTATACTGTTCATAAAAAGTCTCTATCAAACTCAAAACCGCTTTAGTGCTTCCCAAGATAACAAGGACCCGATGTGCCTTCATTTTCAATTGCCTTGCACAACTGCCAAAAGTGGCACAAAGTAACTCAAATTTGCTACTCAATAGTTAATTCAGCATTTCATTTCTAAAATTAGGCAAAAAGAAAGAGCAGAGTTCAATATGAACTATACAATTCAATAAATAACCCAAAAATAATTTTACATCTATAACTTTACATAGGTTTACTTATTTGATCTATATGTATTGACGATTTTATTGCTACAGCTAAATTATGCTGCTTTGTGTGCTGTGCTGTATGCTCTTCATTCCTACTGTATTTTATAGTAGAAACACAATGTTTCCCCAAAGTTTATCTTATCTTAAACACATACTTTTATTGTATGTATTTTATCTGTAACATATACTACATTCACAGTATTTTATGTATATACATGAGAATATACATATAATTTGAAAGATTTTTAAAAAATATTTTTATGTAACAGTAGGACTATATCATGGAAAATATTTTTAAGTTTCCCTTTTCTCAGTTTTTTGTCAAACTGGATTTTACACATAGCCTAGCAACATCTGTGATCTATTTTTTACATGCAAAAGTCACTTGTTCATTGTCTGCAGGAGAAATCCCCTCTTCAAGCTGCCATGAATGTTTCCATCCGCACAGCTGTCTGCTCACACTCACTTCTGGGCATCTTTTTGACTATGTTCCAACAGTGTCCACATATGCTTCTCCCCAAAGGGACATCATTAAGGCTGGTTTGGTCAAAAGAACACATCCACTTCCAGCTGACTGCATATTATGTCCTGCACCAGAAAAATTGCCTGCTGCATTTAAGGTGAAAGTCATATCCACTAAGGCAAAGAGGCTCACAGTTGTTAACTTGAACATAAGTCCAACACTGTGCAGGCAGTATGGGCTTTTCAATGTTTTTGACACAGCTCCAGCCTCTGGGGCAGGGAGTCCACAACAACTGCTGTGACATTCCCAACGGACTCATCCCTTTCAACTTTTTCAGTGCAGATCCTGATCATATACTGCCTCATTGTGGTGAACCAACATTCTTCAAGAGTGAAAAAGCAGCACTGTCTGCAAGGCTTTACTTTCTGTTAGAAATAGGCCTAATTATGACAGACAATTAATTACTTCTGATAATTATTGCGATACACAATAATATTGAAACAACATGAATACATGTACAAAACAGCAGGAAAATCCCAGAAAGCAAATTATCAATTTAGAAATGTCACTAAAAAGCATTAGCTAAGAAAATGAGCACGAGAAGTATGTCATATTTAGCCATACTAAACCATCTACAGCTAAAACATAAATTGTTTCAGAACAAAAATTAAAAAAGCTTTTACTATTGCGAAGATAACGAGCAGATCACAATTATTGAGGTCGAACATTCATTTTTTTACCCATCAGTTATTGAACAATAACTCAATATATTTGTCAATAGTAACTATAGTGACAAGTCTACAATTGCAAAAAGGAAAAACAGTTGTGACAACATCTTCTTTGATATAATATAGTTATCTAGAAAAATAAACAATTCAATGTTTGTGCACAACAAAACATGTGCAGTTCAAAGTCAAAACTACAAGTGGTTAACAAGGCAACATTTTTGTGTAGTTCTTATCCAGCTTATGGTTGTGTATTGTGTAAGCTTATTATTGTTCATGAGCTAAGACATACTGTAATAGATTCAGTATAATAGCACTCCAATTCACAATAATTCCAGTGAGTTCTTGTTTAAATAGATTCAATAACTATCTGGGAAAACATATTAAACAGATTGCAACAGTTTTGTACAAGTGATAACGACACTGACCATAACTGCCTGGCTTAGTCACACAAAAGTGATATTTATGAAACGCTATGATCAAAGAACAGAACTTAGATTATTATTTTATTTTAAGCAGCCATTTTTTTTTAACTTTTGTCTGATCATCAAAATAGTTATATATTGTTCTAGTCATAAAGCAATTCTAATATTATCAGTTATGTGTGAGCATACAAAATAGATCCATAAAAATATGGAAACATGATTTAAGATTTCGTTTTTAAGAATTTGGGAATCACTGAATTTAGTTTGGACATTGAATGAAGCAAATACAGATGGCAAGTAAGTCACACATGAAAACAGCTACATACAACAGAATCATAGTGGTAGTGATAATGTCTTTCTATAAAATCTCTATAAAATCACTTGGCTGACTTTACTGGGTGATACAGCGACAACTTTGATCAAGCCATCGAAAAGCTTTGGACAAATTAGGACAGGTCATTTGAGGCGTTAAGGTCGTGGTGCGTAGAATGTGTTAATGAGATGGAGAGTTTAAGTAATAGAGTGACAGCAGCAGAACCAGGAAATGTGCAGTGTGCCTTTGTAACTAAAAGCTATTCCTTAGAGCAAACAAGTGTGTAGCTTGTGTTACTATCATTTCTATTCATTGGGTTATTTTTGAGTATATATGAGCTCCTGAACACATCAGTGATGAACACGGTTTAAGTTGTAAGGCATGCTACATTGCCCTGTACTTCATACTCCAACATACATGCAAAGAGAGCTAATAAGGTCATAAAAGTCTCTACAGTAGTATGCACTAAAGTTACAGCTGCTCAACAACTGACACCTGGAATTTCCAGTGTGAATGCTCTATTTTTCCTCAGATTACAAAATGTAAACAATGCATTTTGATCTCAGTAAATCATTTTATGATTTTTTTACGAAATTGGTTCGCATAATTTTCTCAATGAAAAGTCAATCCGCTTACCAACATAACATTTATGTCAATATCCTCTCAAAAAGCAACGTGGCGTAGTTCTTTGCTAACCTCATTCTTGGAGGAAGTGGCATGTGTATACAGGACTTATTAGACGTATTAAAGTGTTAAGCCGTCCACACTAGACTAAATATAGCCAGGAGCCAATTTGCTTAGGACAGCGTGAATTTGAACACGTGACACCGGTGCTACAGGCCGCTGTCCGTGGTGCTGAAAAGATGTCTCAATCAAGTAGCCTAAACGCATTTACGTGCAGTGAAACTACGCACTATTAAAGAGCTAAGCTTATTTGCAGCATCGAGCTACTGTATGCAATCCCTGTCAAGTGTAATGCGGTGTGCGGGGTGCAGATAGTTCGAGGCGCATGTCTGATGCAGCTCAGGCAAAGGTAGAGAGAAAGAGAGTTTGATTGATCATGTGGGCTGTGCGAGAGTGCGAGAGTTGACGAAAATTGCTGCATAGACACCCCTTAGGCGCCTATCTTGAGCACACTGTCTGTAAGAGACTAAAACATGGTCAGTAACACCTTACAACACCTGCCCACACGTTAGCACAAGCCCATAAGCCATATGCTATTAGCAGCTGATCATTCTTCCGGGTTGCACTTCACCGGGAATCCACAAAACATGAACTTACCGCAGTCCTCACATAGGATCTTCCCAACATCCTTTTTAAGGTTTTTCTCGCTGGTGTCCAGTGGTGCAAACGATGCTCTGAAAACTAAGGGCTCATCTGTAGGGTCCATGAAAAAAATGTACTTATGGTTTTTCTTTACTTTGGTGCACGGCGCCTCAGATCCAAATTCCCCCACAGTGACAAGCTGCTCTCGCTCCAGACCCCCGCTGTTGACGGGCCACACATCCAGCACTTTGACATTCACACGATACGGCTCCGCGGTGACGTTCCCAGGCGTAGACTGCACCTTGCCCTCGATCACCACAGCGGATTTGTAAGCCTGGTCCTGCAGGGAATTCAAACTCGGGGAGTAGCAGGCGAATGAGACCCCGATGACCAGCATGGATAAATGCACTGAATCAAGCCTCATGCCGCCTGCTTTGGCTAGGTGGTGGCTGGTCGCGTTGCGGCAGGTCTTTCTGGGCTACGGGGCGCTGGCGATGGTGGAGCTGGGTTAGAAGACACAGAAAGTGGGCTCCAGTAGCACGGCAGCGCGGACCTTGCATAAGTGTCCATGCCATCGGGATCTGCTGCTTCGCCAATGATTTTCAGTGGGAAACAGCAGGTTTAATCATAGACCAGGGTTGGCGCTAGGCTCTAAATGCACTTAATGCTAACTGCTAATAATAAGGCATAGTAAAGAGGCAAAGCGATGAATCTAGAAATTGCCCATTATGCTTCCATGGTCCTTAACTGCAAGACGACGCCACACTTATCTTTGCCCAAAAATTGCAGTGCTGGGGTACAGCTCTGTTGCTTCTTCTCAGTATCATCTGCAGCGAAGGGAAATACGCAAGACACTGCAAAATAAAACAAGTTTGGCGGTCCAGACGCAAGATACAATCCACGACTCATTCCAAAAACAAAACATGTGTTGGGTAGTTCCAACGCTAACACGCCGCCTTCCAGCGCGGCTCTGTCCGCCTCCCGCACCAGCCACAGAGAGAAAATGCAGATTACCAAGAGGCTCCGTCAACAGGAACGCACGACTGGAGAACTGTAAAAGCCTTGACGGCACGGGTCGATCACCTCGCTCCAAAACCCAATTAGCCAACTGTATACACTCACTCCATAGTGGATTATGGGCAACGTTCACGTCCAAATGAAATAAACCAAACCCTAAATCCACACCTCCTTTTATGTCATTGCTCAAAATAAAACATAATCTGCGCTAATTTGGAGATGGGGGCAGCACCAGTTCTGATGGGAGATGTGGCTGCCATAAGGACACATTTTCATTGCTTTTATTCAGTTTAGCAGCTCATCGCATTGCAGCGCAATCTGGTCAATTAGTTTGCCTATTTGTCCGAAATAAATATGTAGCATGTGTAGCCAATAACACATTCATTTCACTTTTGTATTTCAAAATATGTTTTAATAATACTAAGAAACACACAACCTATATTGTAACTTATTTACCCAACAAGTCGACACTCAAGTAACAGTGGGTTAACGGTAAGAATGCGGGTATCTGTTGCACTACATTTATAAAGTGCGACATCTGCTGGACATAACCGCGTAAAACATGTTACAACTTGTTAGCTCTGATGTTCGTATTCACAACTGCTGGTTATTTCCATTTTTCCTAACGATAAGCTCGACTCTTTAAATTGAATGTAGTGGAATTAATTCACTCTTTTTTTTCTTGTACAGTTGTACATTTCAACAAGTTAAAGTGTTATGGAAAACTTAGATATAATTATAATGACATAATGAATATAATATCTGAAAAACGTGGCTATACTCTAAGTAACAGTTCATAGTGTATCTTTAACATCCTGGCTCGTAGATGAGTTTACCAGTTGTTTTGTCTACACTTTTTTTTCTTCGAACTAATACGCTGCGTGTGGACTATTCAGGGGTAGGACAGGACAAATTGGATTGTCCCCATCAAAGGGACTTTTTATTATAATAATATGCTATATTCTTTGTGTTCCCTTGCTTTGGCATAATGTACATCTCAAGTTTATTCACACAACAACTCTCTACAGAGGATAAGTTTCTGCCATATTTGCAGATGTTTCATGGATAATGGTCATTGAGAGGGACGTTTCAATTTGGAGCTGCCACAAAATTAACTTGGCAGCTCAGAGTTGTTATTACAACAGTGTTTTGTTGTATAAACCTTTTCACCCAAGTGAAAACATTAAATCATAATGTTTTATTTGGAGCCAAAAAAAAGTACAGTGGTTTTAAGACAATACACTTGTAGTTAATTGATTTGTCACTTTAGATTACATCTGCTTTGACGGTGCTATCCATGGTGCTGAAACATTGTGAACCCAGTGGTTCTCAAAGTGTGGAGGGTGCAATAGACACTAACGTGATTTCAAAATAGAGTTGCAAATTTTTTCACTGAGCAACATTTATTTGACACATAATATGATTGCTTACGTGTAACTTCGTTAATTAACTTATTTTAAAAATACTATGGATTTATTATGCTCCAGCGCTTCAAATTAAATTCATATTTTTTATTTTTTATTAAACATAGGGGTTTATACTTTGCATTCATCCATAGTCATCCAAGCCCTGATGGAAACGTTTGAGAACTGCTGATTTAACTGAGAGGATCAGTTCAAAATATTTTTCAAATTATTGTATAATTATATTCCAAAACAATAATTACAGTCTTAAAAACCCTATGTTTTGATATATGTTAGAAGGACCTTTGTTTGAGTCTATGGGCAATGTATTGCCAATAATAATGTAATTACTGGTACATTGGCTTTGTATTGATTCACTGCAAATATTTTTGTTTAAAGCAAATGGTGCTTTACCTGCGCTGAAATTGAAAAGCGTTGTACTGTTTTACTTATTCCAAAAGAAGGCGCTGGTTCTCTGTTTTCCCTCCGTGAGCGTCTGAGTCCTGCCTCTGCCGGTGCAGTCTGCCACTGACGTTAAAAGTATAATGTGAATAAGGTCTCCTGTTGAATAACAAACATATGTTAGAGGATATAAGGAAAAGACAATATTGTTCTTGTTCCACATGCTGGCATTTGATGGCGCACAAAACACTTTATTTGTTTTATTAGGAACATTCTGATGCACTGTAATCAGATTAAAGCTGCAGGAAAACGTCCCTAAAAACCTAAAAGTTATCACGATCTTTTCAAATAGTAGTGGAATTAACCAGATACCTATAGGCTACAAAAAGTAATAAGTATAATATTTTGGAGTGGACCGATACAAATAAACCAATGGGATTGTTCAACTCCAACGAACCAATGGGATGCGTTTACACCCTTCACCCTCTTCCTGTTTCTCGAGAGTGCGTGCACCTGAGTTATCGGATTTTATAAAACCTAAAAGGGCTGAACAGAAAATGCCAATTTCACGTTTGCCACCTACTCTCCCTGTTGTGATAAAGAAAAGAAAATGTTGGATGTTTGGTTTGGTGGAGAGGCGCAGGGGGGGCTACGGCTAAGCTAACAAAATCGCTTACTGCACCTTTAAAAGATCTACCAAATATGTAATACATTTTAATCATTTATTAGGTATTATTATCAATCCAAGTGCAAAACTGGGTGCAAAGTGAAAAAAACAAAATGTGTGCAATATCAGTGGTTTCTTATAGAAGTTACCAAATTGGAGCACAAGTATAAGAACGCAGTGCCTTGTGTGTGTTTTCTCCCATTTTTCATGGGTTAAATACTGGAAGAGTGGTGAATTGATCACTATTTGTTCTTCTATCCTCATTTTGTCATCATTACTGAATAATATTACCTGCTTCATTGCTTTTCCCCTGTTGTCCCTTTTTATGGGGTGATGATGGAATTCCTCAACCTGGACCTGTGAACTGGTTGCTCCAGGCCAGGAGAAAATCGACTGCACCGCCCTAACCTCATTTGGGAGCCTCCTCATTCCTGAATCTAAGGCATGTCAGTCTGAGGGAGCGAATACCTGTGAATTTCTTTTTAAGTTTCTCACATTTCTTTCTGGCAGATGCAGCAGGGTCTAAGGACGTGATGGTTCTGGACATTTTTGGACACTGGTTAACCATTGATAGCCTGGTCGTACCACACCATAGTACAAATTACATTCCGTACTAAGGTCTAGAGGTGCTCCATTGAGCCCCGTTTACAGGTGGGAGGGGTTAACTCCTTTTGCAGATTGAAACGATTGGATCTGAGTTTACCGTGATGTATGTAGTGCACCCGAGTCTGTTGTTAGCATTTAGCATTGAGCCTAGCCATCTCCTTTGCTGCTAACACTGCCCCCGGGGAGCCCCCCGCCACAATTTTTTCCAGTGATTACATTTGCTAAACATTACCCATGCTCCGGCTTCAATTTCTTGATAGAACCAGACTGGATTACTTTACAATCGCATTTTTCGCCATTGCCAAACTACAACCTGCTTGTTCGATGCAAAATCTTGACATCACCCACAACAAACTACAACACCTGCCTTCCGCGCTCTCTGAATGGTCGGTCGAAATTCAACCGATTGTAATCGCTAACATAGGGACTACACCCAGACGTTACATTCAGTGAAATGATGATTGAACGGAGTGTACGGATGGCTAAGGCCAGGCTAAACCAATGACTGTGTTCTATGATTGTAATTTCTTCAGTTTTAATTGTTTGATTATAAAATCTGTAGTTCTTGTTGACTATTTTGTGACTTCTTCAGAGGCAACTTCTGCTGTGATTTTAGGTGCTACAAATAAAATTTTAAATTGAATTGAAAAATTAACATGACAAAATTTTTGTTCATTGCATTTGCCAAAGAAACTCATCAATCAAACAAATAATTATGTAGAAAATATACAGATTTTAAGTAAACTTATACAAATTATCAAACTTGGCATGACTTGAAATGTCTGAGATTTGCAGTATTAAAAATGGGGTGAAATCAAATTCAGACCAAGTTTCATTAACCATCCATTTTCTTCCTCTTAATCCACTTCTGGGTATGGGGGTGGCAGTCAGAAAGTCAGAGCTGCACCCAGTACACAGAGCACCGGCCCCTCACTGATCCTCCTGCAGGTGGTGATTCCACAGGAGCCTTGATTTTTGAAGTGTCTTGCTCAAGGACACAACGACAGCAAACATCAGTGGGAATCGTGAAGTATAGTCTTGCGGTGGGCTCGAACCCACGACGTTCAGGCTCAAAGGCCAATGGTCTACCAACTGAGCTACTGTCACCCCAGTTTCATTAACCAATATTATTTAATTATTCAACCAAAACTGCTAGTCTGAGAACTCAAAACTTTGAATGACATCCAACAGAGGTGTCCAAACCGGTCCAGAAAGGGCCGCTGTGGCTGCAGGTACCAGACCCAGCAGGAGCAGAGCAGACTCCACCCATTTCCTCAAATCTTCAGGTTAAGACCATAGACTGTATATATTAACGGACAGAGTCACGCCTATCTCCGCCGTTCTAACTAATGGGCCAACAATATGCTCTACTGGAGCAATCCAAAATAGCAGCGAGCGGTCCCGCCCACAAAAAAATGGTGAAAAAAACGCATCTGCGCATGCGTCAGCTGGCGAGAGCTCCATTCATTTGGACGAGAGACTTCAAAAATTCACAGCAAGTAAAGTAGAGTGGTCCAAAAAAATTCACCCCCCTCAGCATTGACACACATGTGGAACGGAGCTTTGGGCCAAGAGCCAACTTTTGGACCATCCTGTAAAAACGTTTTTGAGAGGTCTGCCAATGATTAATGTTAGCATTAATTCTACTTCTGGATCCACCCCCATCATTTTGGCCACTTTTGAGCCGGGACCCGCCCCCCGCTGGTTAAGACTGAACTCACTTGAGGAAATGGGAGGAGTCTTCTCTGCTCCTGCTGGGTCTGATAGAAAACCTGCAGCCACAGCGGCCCTTTCTGGACTGGTTTGGACACCTCTGCGACTAGCGCTATCACGTCTTTGTGCTCTGTGATTAAATTACTTTTGGAAGCTTAATAGTAATCTCAATAGCTGTGTGGAACTTCTCTTGTAACTTTGAAATACACCTGATGGTGTATTTTTACAGTGTTACTTTTAGAAGACACTCGGTAATGTGACCAGTGAAAAAAACAAAAAAGTGCAACGGCAGGAATAGTCCTGGCTACCAAAGTAAATGACTTTCATGTTAATGTTTTGCCATATGAGCAAGTTTTGAACAAATACTTAAATTACTTTAATAAAACAAACAAACAAACTTTATTCTGTTCTCTCAGAAGGTAATATAACTTTCTTGGGGCAGTAAATAGGTAATGTAAGTAATTAGAAATGACTAGTAACAAGTCATTTGTAACATATTACATTTTCAAAGTAACTTACCCAGCACTGAATGTAACCCATTACCCATTGGTAATACATCACTTGTTACAATAAAAGTTCAAGTTACATGCATACTTAATGTAAGTGAATATTTGCTTGGTTTTTTCACTAAGTTACAGTAGACTTTCATAACAGTTAGTGCCCATACCCAAACCACCAGTTCAAACGTACAACACAATATAAGAAATCCAATGCAAGGGGGGAACTTGACTGGAATTCACCACAATAATAAAATCTAAATCAAAAAGAGTGAAAAGGACACTCACTAGGGCTCACTAGGGCCAGGAATATACTATATATATATATATATATATATATATTAGTATATACCATATATATAGTATATACCATATATATATAACAGTTTTTCCAATGTGGTTTTACTGCAAATGGCAAATAAATGAATCTGATATATAACCAGTGATGGGAATAACGGCGTTACTAGTAACGCGCCGTTACTTTTTTCAGTAACGAGTAATCTAACTAATTACTTTGACAGTAACTATAACGCCGTTATCATTTCCGACATCCCGTTACTGCGCGTTACTCAAGACGCACAATGAACGTGTTGTCATGAGAGAAGGGAGGATGAGAAAACCTCTCAGCAATTATTGGCTGATGTAAATCATATTTCCTTTACAATCTACATGTCTACAGTTGAGAGGATGGCTCATAAATTGTGTTTTTGAAACAAATATGGGTCTTAATCGCGCTCAACCACGGCTTGTATCACCGTAAGGCCAGCCTCAGAGGAGCGCATGTGAGCGCAGAAGTCGGCTGCATACAATTCCATCGATAAGGTCCTTTCTCTTCCTGGTTTTTCTGCTAAGGACAGCAACAGGTTTGGCTAACATACATATAACACATTTTTACATAATCTAAAATGCACATAGGGTAATTTTTCAATTACTATAGGAATGATAAGAAAGAGAGGTGAAGTGTAAGACGGTTGATTTTAGAAATTGGATGCACTCGGCTGCCGCTAGCAAAACACAGGAGTTTTACTGTGTTTTTTGTTTTACTTTTTAAAACTCATTGGACTCATTTCCAAATGGAGGATTACATATCTACGCTCAAACCATTAACTGGATTTAAACAAGGAACTGGTCTGAACCAAAGTGGACTGTGCAGGTCATTTATAAGGTATAGCTATAAGGTAAGACCCATAACTCATAGTTTTGCGTTTTGTATGAACAAACAATGCGGGCATAAAACATATTTTGCTGTAGCCAAACAAATTGTCCACTTGATTTATATGATGTATATGTTCATCTGATTGGACTGAAGTCAGTGCTTCACCAGCCTCACCGCTCGTCACCGGTGTTTCCACATTCACAGTGGCGGGCTTTACAGCACAGACAGAGATGAAGAGTGAACAGGACTTCAGCAGCAAAACAGCCTTTTCTAGATGGAAATATTGGCACTGTTAAAGGTAAAAATGCGCACGTCGGGTGCACATTATGTTCCAGAACAAAACGAAAAAGTAACGCAATAGTTACTTTTACTGGTAACTAGTTACTTTTATAGTGGAGTAACTCCGTTAGTAACTCAGTTACTTTTTGGGAGAAGTAACTAGTAACTATAACTAATTACTTTTTCAAAGTAACGTGCCCAACACTGTATATAACAGACCACTGCTCTGTTCTCAGTTGTTCTGGATTTGGTTTGGGCTGTGTTCCTACCAGACTGAAAGTGAATGCAGATTGTTAACTGTTAAAAGCAGCTCCACAAAATAGGGAATGGTGATGGGATTAGTGTGGCCATTCGGATACAACCTTTATCATTACAGTTCCATGAAGTAGCCTCCAGCTGGAGTAGCTGTTTCTGGGTCTCAACAAAAAGAGTCTTGTTTAAGTAAAAAGGTTTTTTAAATTATTATCATTATTATTATGATTTACACTGTGTAAATTACACATATCTTACATACATGAGAGCTGAGTGAGGGCTAAAAGGCTGATGATGTGACAAAGGCCGAACTGACATGTAAAATACATGACAAATAGAATCATAGACTGTGATAGAACCGAACAGTTTTGAGAACTAGAATGTAGTGACATGTCATGTATTACGTAGTTATTATTTTGTGGTCACGTTAAGTGAGGTAGGCTCCTCCAGCTGTAAACTTTCCTAGCTAAAAAAAAAAAGGTGCATAAGCTACAAATTTACTTATTATTACTCATTACTCACGATCTTCGAGGGATGGTGAAACATTACGACATATTAATCATTTCATGTAAAAAGGTGAAATAAATTCCTTCGAAAAAAATAAGTTGTGAACTTGCCGATGATGAGCACGCGGGTTCTGTCTCTGTCCAGATTCTCGCGAGAGGAGCGTGCGAGTGGCCGAGGCTTTGCAGCAGACGGAGGGAGAAGGCAGCAGCATCATGGCGGACAGAGACAGTGGAAGTGAGCAGGGAGGAGCACCGGGCCCAGGCTTCGGATCCATGCACTCAGCGAGCGGAGGGGCGGGCTCGGCTTCCGGCCTCCAACATGAGACACAAGAGCTGGCGTCCAAACGAGTTGACATCCAAAACAAGCGCTTCTATTTGGACGTAAAGCAAAACGCAAAAGGCCGCTTCTTAAAGATAGCAGAAGTCGGGGCCGGTGGAAACAAGAGCCGCCTCACTCTCTCTATGTCCGTGGCAGTCGAGTTTCGAGACTATTTGGGGGATTTCATCGAGCATTACGCTCAGCTGGGACCAAGCAACCCGGGTCTGGTGCAAGACGAGCCGCGGAGAGCGCTCAAGAGCGAGTTCCTGGTGAGGGAGAATCGAAAATACTACATGGATCTGAAAGAGAACCAGAGGGGACGCTTTCTGAGGATCCGACAGACCGTCAACCGGGGGCCTGGTTTGGGATCCACGCAGGGCCAGACCATCGCACTGCCTGCACAGGGACTTATTGAGTTTCGTGACGCTTTGGCCAAACTTATTGACGATTACGGCGTGGAGGACGAGCCTGCGGAGTTGCCCGAAGGGTCATCATTGACTGTGGACAACAAGAGATTTTTCTTCGATGTTGGGTCCAATAAGTATGGAGTGTTCATGAGGGTCAGCGAGGTGAAGCCCACGTACCGCAACTCGATAACGGTACCCTACAAAGTATGGTCCAAATTTGGGAATACATTCTGTAAATACGCGGATGAGATGAAGAAGATACAGGAGAAACAGCGAGAGAAAAGGTCATGTGAGCTACAGCAAGAGGAGATGCCGGCTGATGATGGAGATGACGATTGATATATGTAAAACATTCAAGAGTAAAGAAATTAACCAGAGAAATATAATTAAAACTATTGTGTAACGAAATAAATCTAAAGATTTAACTTTAATGGTTTAACTCCAAGGGAGCATCACCCAATATACAAGAAAACCACACAACCTGACAGTTTTGACATGTTGTCACTCATCGCTGGATGTTATTCCACTATTCACCATTAATACAGTAACAGGCTGCTAAACAAAGTAATAACGTTATATTTGAACATTGTTTCCTACTTGACAAACAATATTGAACTGAGTGTTCATTTCCCGTATTAACAGAAAACTTTTGTACAAGTTGAAACTATTGTAAAAAAAAAAAGAAAAAGAAGTGTTTGCAATGTTCAAATCGAATTATTGCTGAGTTCTGGGGAAACTTTTTGTTGTCATGTGAGCTAAAGACTTCAGCACAAATCAGATATATTAATTTAAAACCAAAATTCTCAAATGGTTGTAAAGGGTTGTCATGTGTTTTTGCCATTTTACCTTTACATGTGAGTAGAGATGTGTTTACACAGGACTCAAAAGAGGGCTAGGCCTACTTTGGAAAATGGTTAGATGTCATGCAGTAACAGAACATAGGCATTTTCATCAAATGAAAAAGTGCTCTATTGTGCAATATGTATTGCATACGAAATTAAGTATATTGAATGGGTCTCGACATTACATTTTCCAGAGGCATTCAAAGATATATTATTAATATTGTATTTTTGTTTCTGTTTAAAATGTTGCCATGCAGATGGATATATTATAGACTACCTTTGTGTCTCGTGATGCAATGTTCATTGAAGGTACTTAGTGTGTATTATGATAGAAGAAATGCAGTGAGAACATGTAGCAAATGGCCTGAAATAGAGTGAATGCCCTACACATGCTGTGTGTGATGAGGCTTCCAAATTAAGCTGCTCATTATAGATTATTGCATCGGAATCTTTTGTAAACATGTTAAATCTTATATCAAATCCAAATGGTGCCAAGGAGTGCTATTGCTGCATGTTAATCTGCACTAAGTTATATTTTTCGTTGGTCTCCCAAAATATTGGCTCAAGGACCCTTCAAAATGTATCTTCATCAGCAGAATGAATCTCAAGTTTGAGTACTGAGTCATCTCCATCCAAATGCTTGGTGTTGTTATAGTGGAAGTTGTTTCGAAGTGTGCTAGTGTAAAAGAGATTTAATTATCCTTACACTCCATCTGCAAGTGTAGTTCAGTGGGGCTACTTTGATGACATTCTAAGCACTTACCATGATGATGAGCCCAAATATGAAGTAGGCAACGAGATTCAATGTAGGTCTAATTGTAAATATCTGGGCTGCCACACGGAAAACAACTGGTTGTAGTCCAGTTCAGTCGCATCTCATAGATGTGTCATCGCAGTTTTATAAACTCAGTCAGTGAAATCCAGAGATACTGGCCACAATCAGAATATGTCAGATGTACCTCAGTATTGAACTTAATGACTGCTCCCATGTTTAGATTGACTGGAAACCAGCAAACTAGACCGTCCTTGGTCACCTATTTTTGGAGCCACTGGTATAGATAAAATTATACCTGGTCGGGAGCATCCTCTTCAGCATATAAACAACCTGGTGCCTTACACACTCCGCATGCTTACACGCTGGCCTGGTGCTTTGGATTGCATATTTGCTTTTTCTTGTTTTTGTTTTTTATGTGTGTGTCTCAGCCCCTTGTGTGCACGTGCACAACTCGTGGTGCTAAAGAGTTTGTTTCAAACTCTTCAACTAATCAGGAGTGGAATTATTTTTCTGCTTCTTCCTCTCTCTTCCCTATGCTAGTCACCATCCCGCTCCTAAGCTATCCAGGTATCGGCCTACATGTAAACATGGAAGGGGTGGTCACCTAATGCAAGACAATGCCGAAGAGTTGTCTCTGATGGCCAAGCACATTCAGAAGGCCGGGGCTGACTGGGAACAGTGTGACATGTTTCAAGCCCCTTAACATGCCAATTCTTTGGCTTGGGTTGTTCTATGTGAGTTGTAAGTTGCTCAAATAATGGGGTGTAGCAAGCATGTCTTGTTATGTTTTATGTAGTTTTACCTTTTCAGCATTATTCCACTTTATTTGTAATTTTGGAATGTTTTTGCCCACAAAAGATAAATCTATTTTTTCTGTGCAACATTTCATCACTGTGTGCAATATCGTATGTGCCAATGGTGGCAATATATGTATATCAATTAAATATATAATTACTATTTGAAAGCATGTGGCTGAATTCTATGTTTTTTCATATGAAGGACTTGTATTCCTTTTTGCACTGAAAGGTCTGTGCAGAATGAAGCTATAGAAGAAACCAAACTGTAAGAGACCTATTGCGTTCAGCAGTTAACTTGATATGGATTATATTTACTCTTTTACAAAAGAGTGGATCTTTTTCTGCGTGTTGTGGAAAGTAGAGATAACTGGAGCTTTCTACAAGGAAACCTCCCTAAAATCTAGATCTATATTTTGGCTTAATGCTAAGAAACGGTGCTTCTGTCCTATGATTCCCATTAAGGCGTGGTGAATTGTCTTCAGTGGTTGTTGTGTGTAGCACTTTTTTCCCAGGTTGATAACATGCCTGATAAACAAAGAATGTCATTCTCTCTTTAATGTTGCTTCTCTTCCAAGAGGGTCTTTTATTTCATCATTTTGTTTTGAATGCATTAGTTTTAATTCATGTATATCAAACATTTTTTAAATAAATTAATTCACCCCTGGGGTAATCCATTATTCATGCATATGTGTGTATGTATTTGCAAGATACAACTTTATGAAAGTAATGCATAGAATATGTTATAAGTTACATTTGTGAGTAGAGGTGTCAGCAACATTAAATCAGAATTACAAAGATTGTATGTGAAGTAGCAGCTGCTCGTATCCAAAGAGGAAGGAAATGTTCTGCAATATGATGTCATCCAAATGGACATTCCCTACGCGTTTTACAAAAGTAAGAAGCCGCTGTGAGGATGACGGTCTTGTGGTCAGATATCCCTTGTTATTACTTATAGGCTACATGGTTCACCATAACACTCTTTGCTGCATCAGTTGTTGGACAATCACAAGCAATGGAGCGTGGCCTCATGATGACGTAATGGCCTACATTGCTCATGTGGTCTTCCTAACACTAGAGTTCGCTCTTTATCCACAAATATAAACCCAGACAAAGATGCCAATCTGGAGCACATGGGCATTTGCGAGTTAGCTGTATCGGACACTGGATTTTTAATTTATTTAAAGGTGAACTCAACATGTGTGTAGCTTTAGTCTCCTACAGTTACTTTCAGAAACAATAACTTTCAAACGTGTTGTGTATTATTAGTGGCGACGTGAGCTGATGCCAGTGGGATTTTGGTGCATGATTTAGTCGTTTTCTCAGCTGTGTGTGTTCAGTGTGTGCGTTTGAGCTTGTGTTACAGTTGTGTGAGAGTTGAAGGAATGCTGTGATGTCATCAGCTCAGTCATACACAAAGACGCGGAGCAGCCACTGGCTCTACTTGATCCAATGCTTAGTTAGCACACTCGGCTCTGGAGCGACAGTCTTCAGCCCGCTGTGAGTACGCGAACGTATTTCATTTACTCCTCTTATGAACATAGCGGTTGATTTGTGGTACCTGCTTGTAGTGATCGCATGTACTTCAGCGCAGACAGCCCTCAAACTAGAAAGTGTGGAGTCGAGAGAAAGGAGCCCTCCTGTGATACTTTCCCAGCTTTCATTCTCTCCAACTAGAAGCCATTGTCTAACTCCCTGCTGTGATTGGAGGAGTTCATTCATTTTTAAATATATATCTCTATATTGGCTTATACTGACTCTTACACTGTTCTTTTCTATGTATTCCCCCCACTGCACATTATTGTAATTGAATGGAAATCTGCTTCAGCTTTCTATGAGGAGATAGGAAAGAAGAAGTAGGGGTTTGGGAGGGATGTGTGTTTGTGCTTTAGGGAGGGAGCAGAAAGAGGGAACTGCTGTGCTGATGACAGAAACAGCCCCATTCCTTAGGAATCTCCTCCCATTCAAGGCATGAGGCTCTTGACATTTCTGGCTTTGGGTTTTTGTTCTTCCGTATTACGAAGGGGCGAACTGTAAGAAAGTCAATACTATGTCTTCAAAAAGAAAAGTTAGATGTAAGAAAAGTGTATATTGCTTGGAATTTGATCTCATTTCTGTTGTTATTTTCCTTTCTTTTAGGTTGTTCCAGAACTGCAACTAGAATTTGGTCATTCGTATGAAAGGAAGAACCACACAGAGGAAGCTTGTCTGCGATTTCCTGATAACATGTTATTGTACAGTATGTTGCGTACAATTACATGCTGGAGAAACAACGTACTTAGATTGCTGAATGTGTTATTTTAAAACTATAGTATAAAGGCACTTTGAAGATGTGTTGAAGACATGAGACTGTGATACAATATAGGCAACTTTGAGAAGCTTCTAGCCCGGAGCTAGAGCCCTCTCCTGTCCGCTGTGTGCTCTGTCCAGCTGCCAAAATGCTGCAGCAGATCCTAAAGGACATGTACATTGACCCTGAAGTGCTGGAGGCACTGAATGAGGATCAGAAGAAAACTTTGTTTCTTAAAATGCGCCAGGAGCAGGTGCGACGATGGCAAGAGCGAGAGGACAAACTGGAAAGTGAAGGGGGAGAATCCACCAAACAAACAAAGCCAAAAAAGGGTAAGACTTCTGTAAGCACTTTGTTAATGGTAACCCTTCTAAGTCATTGTAAGGAAACTTGGCTGTCAAGTTTCCTTACAATGACTGTCTATTAGACAGGCTTACTGTGATGTTAAAACATACTTCCTTTAATTTCCAGTGACTCACTCATCTTGCTGTTGGTTGTTAATCAGTCCACTGTTACACCTACAGGTGACAGTAAAAAACAGCCCTTTTTACATCATATATCTAAGATACAGTTTCCTTTTCTGCAACAAATAAGGCTAAGAAAAACGGATATTTGGAAAACCCTGAACTGATTTGAAAAGTTTAATAATTAGATTACAATTATTTATGTCCTTTTTTAATGTATTATTTTTATGATAAGACAAGGCCAAAAATATTGCACTCATGTTGGAGATGTGTTTCGTTTGGAATGTGTGCTAATAAAGTGAAGTACGTATGGTGAAGTATGCTATAAATAGGAACTAGGTTTTTGTAAGACACTGAAACAGCTGAAGTCAACAGGCAGCAATCAAACTAAACAAAGCAGTTGCTCGGAAGGCTGTAAGCCACTTGAGAAACTGGTTCGGGATAAAATGGAGGGAATCTTGCCCGTCTACTTTTTGTTTGTAGTGGCAGACGCAGTGGGGCATGATGATTGGCTTTAGGATGGTGGACTGGGCTATTAATACTGTGACAGTCCCGAAAACACTGACGTACTACTTTTTACTAATGATTTCTTAATACAACTTCAGACTGCACTTTGTGTGATCCCTCATAGATGACAAAGAACCCTGTATCGGCTGAAGTCGAAGAACAAGACTTGAGTTGTGTATTAATGACTGTGACAGCTGCTGTAGACCACAGACGTGAGTCACATGGCTCCATCCTCTTCCTGTTCACTCTCATGCCCTGATGCTAAGGAAATGGTGGTTGGTTAGTGTCATTGTGGTGTTACTTTGTTAGATGGAGTTGCCATGTTTAATGCTGGTTTGTGTTTAAGGGAAGTAAGGAGTAGACTCCCAAACAAACAACATAACCAGGGGCAGGAAGTGTGCAGGAAGACTCTGTGTGTGAAAACAAAGGGGTTGATTTCATTTGCAAACTTCTGTAGGAAAAGTTACTGATGAACTCACTTTTTTGGTTACTTTTGTACCCAAAAGGGGCACGGTAAAATCTTTATTGAACACATGGCTTAGTATAGCTACAGAACAACTTTTCATCCGTACTGAGGTGAAAACTCTCTTGTATATCATATATGTTTGTGTAAATCGTACAGGGATTAGTCAAAGCAAAGGAAGGTTTCTCACCCATCATCTGTACTTCTTAGCAAGTTTTCCCGACGTTTCGTCCTCAATCCTCAAGCGGTCTGAGAATTCATTCCCTGAAGAAGTCCTTTGGATTGAGGACGAAACGTCGGGAAAACCTGCTAAGAAGTACAGATGATGGGTGAGAAACCTTCCTTTGCTTTGTATATCATATACAAACACATTGGGTGATCAATTGGTAACAATAGAAGAACATGGTCTAATTACATTTTTAAGGACAGTCAAAAGACAGTCATGATCAGGGACCTTTTAGGGACATGTATTAACATTTATGGACATTGGTCCCACAGTCCAATGGAGACTGCTGTTATGATTTAGGGCTATGCAAAATGAATGGAATATTTTATAGTATCATTTACTTTTCCATTCAGCATGCACTCAATGCCACATTTTAAACTCTTAATATTAATCCATGATTGTTGTCGTCATGGAATAGACGACCAATGCAGTCATTGTGTGCCATCGACCTGAGCAATCATCTACTCACAACATTCTGAGCACACAGGTGGTAGGGCTGCTGTCAAAGTAATTATTTGTGTTTTCACTAGTTCCCCATCACAAGTGCTAGCTAAGCGTCATTTTGCTTAGCTTCCGATATCAGGCCAGATACCCCTAACCCTAAAAAGCTGGTATGGGAAGGTCAGAGTGGTTGCTCCTGAGTAACTTCACACAGTTTTTGTTTTGAGAAACCCTTTTATTAAACTTAGTAGAGATACATCTGTGGATTATACATCCATTTAGGGGGATAGTCTGCGATGTTGGTGTCTTACATTTATGGTATTGTTTACTTTGAGATGTGTTTATAAAAGCGCCTTTTAAATGCCACGTAGTAGTCCTGTCCAGGCGGGGGCAGACTGGCAGAACCACTTATGAAAGTGGGCTGTTCTGCTTTTAGCCTCTTTGCTAATGTAAGCAGCTGGTTCTACAAAACTACTCAGATCTGTCACAAGTCTGTGGTGCTAATGTTGAGTCCACTTGCTTTTACAAGAACTCTATCTAAACAAGTGCTCATTGGTAGTGCATGTCTTCTTGTCATTGGAACTTTAATTTGAAGTAAATTATGTACTTTACTGGTAAGATTACTAGCCAAGACAAAAGCATTGTTTACATTATGTTGGTTATTGTATTTTATTCTGGGTGTATGTGATCTTCTCTCCCTTCAGCAAACAGTAAGAGTGTGAGTTGGCTGCTTGGTCGGGATGGAGATGTGGCCGTGATCGTGATCGGAGAAGTAGACGAACTCAGCTCCAGGTTTATCTGCTCAGGAGTAGAGAAGCGGTCCCCCCCGAGCCTCCAGAACAACTCTCAGTAAGAATCAAGATGATCAAAACTAGTAGTGAAACTATACACTCAATAGAAAAGTAATACTTTGTACAAAAACGGCTATAAAGTGTTTTTTGGAACCTATAGGCACCTAAAATCTATTTGATATTTTGAACAATTTTTTATTTTTTATTTTTTTTATGACCTTTGTTGATTTAACTACAGGGCCAGGCCATCAGAAATCCCTCATTGTGACTCACTTAGCAACAATGAAAAATTTCCCAAAAAACCAGTGATATGCAGTTACTTCTGTGAAAACACTAAGCAAGTCTGAAGTCTGTCCCACAGAAGATCACAATGTGTGGCCCCAATCCGTATATTTGAATAGTTAGGTGGGCTTTCAAATACTTCAAGTTCATTATTATGGGTCTAATAAAGCTCTATTTTACATTTGATGATAACGAATGCATAGGTGAATTTGCCTAATTAATAATGCATGCAATAATTTGAATCTGTCAGAACCTCTATACCTCAGTATGTTGTTGGATTTGGACCTCAGCCTAAAAGTGTGAAAACCTCTTGTCTATTAGGGAGACCTGAGGAATTGGTCAGTGTTGGACCTGGGAATTTAGCATTGTCCAGATGACTTGCCTGGCAGTTTGCTTTGATAGACTTGTTCTATAACAAGACATTTCCAAGGATATTCTTGTTCTCTGCCTACTCTTCGAACGTGTGATTGAAATGGCTGATCGTCTGTTACAGCAACCGAAGCATCCTGATAACAACAAGAATGGTTGCATGCAACAGGATAGAGACAGATGCCACTTCTTCCACTCCAGGACTTTCCTCAAACAAGGTTGGAACAAGCTTTTAATCACAATAATATTGGGATTGTTGGCATTCTGTGAAATGTATCACAAGTCAATAGTTATGGATTTTTAATATCTAATGACTCATTTGACATGTTTCAGTCTGGCTTTAGACCACACCACAGTACTGAGACCGCTCTAGTCAAGGTAACAAATGATATTCGGCTTAACACTGATGCAGGAAAAGTCTCTGTTTTAGTCATGTTAGATCTGAGTGCCGCTTTCGACACCGTTGACCATGAGATTCTCATGCAGAGACTGGAGGACTGGGTTGGTGTTGCTGGTACCGCCCTAAGCTGGTTTAGGTCCTATCTAGAAGAAAGGAAGTATTGTGTGGAGATTGGAGACTATGTCTCAGATAATATGGCCCTGACCTGCGGAGTGCCACAGGGGTCGATTCTGGGACCTCTCCTGTTCAATATTTACATGCTGCCATTAGGTCAGTTAATTCAAAGTATGAAAGTGTCCTACCACAATTACGCTGATGACACTCAGATCTATGTCTCACTGACTGCAGGAGAACATGGACCGGTGGACTCACTCCTTCGCTGTATCCAGCGGATCAGTGAGTGGATGCAATGCAATTTTCTCCAGCTAAATGCGGACAAAACCGAAATGATTGTCTTTGGTCCCGAGAAACAAAGAGAGACCGTCATTTGTCACCTTCAGTCTCTCTCCCTAAGGCCTTTAAATAAGGTCAGAAATCTGGGAGTAATAATGGACTCTGACTTAAACTTCAATAGCCACATTGGATCGGTAACATCAGCAGCTTTTTATCATCTGAAAAATATTGCCAAAATTAAAAATATTGTGTCCAAGGCGGACTTGGAGATTCTTATCCATTCTTTTGTTTCCAGTAGGCTGGATTACTGCAATGGCCTGCTCACAGGTATCTCCAAACATGCAGTAAAACAGCTGCAGTATATTCAAAATGCTGCAGCCCGAGTCCTGACTAGAACCAGGAAGTACGACCACATTAGTCCGGTCCTCAGGTCTCTGCACTGGCTTCCCGTGGCCCAGAGGATAGACTTTAAAGCAGCTCTCCTGGTGTACAAGTCTCTCCATGGCCTTGCACCAAAGTACATCCATGATATGCTAGTCCCATATGAACCAGCCCGGACTCTGAGGAGCGCAGGGACGGGACTCCTGTTAGTGCCCAGAGTCAGGACTAGACAGGGGGAGGCTGCTTTTCAGATTTATGCAGCTAAAGTCTGGAACAGTCTTCCTGAGGATGTGAGACTGGCTGCCTCTCTGTCAATGTTCAAATCCATGTTAAAGACTTTTCTTTTTTCCTGTGCATACAACTAGAGAATTTTATCGTTTTAACACACCTTGTTATTTATTGTTGTAACTTTTTGTGTTTTTAACTATTTTATTGTTTTTAATTACTTGTGTGATTCTTATGTTTTTAAATTACTTATGTGATTTTAATGCTTTTTAATTACATATGTGTTTTTAATTGTATTTTAATGGTGATGATTTGTGCATTGTGTGGTGTGGACTGTGAGGCGCTTTGTGTTGCCCTGTGCAGGAAAAGCGCCCTATAAATAAAGATTGATTGATTGATCATGAAAGTGGGGCATTTAAGTAGAAACATGCAATGGTGATTTCGTCATCTCAAAAGTGAACTATAGAAGACTGTACGCCACCAAAAATCTCTCAGCAGCTTGCCTGAAGCCCTGAGCATTAATTACAACTTGACGACAATGTCTCTTGCCGTTAACAAGTTAATTTATTGTCTTCTGAGGCCGGTCATCTCACTCTTCATGAAGTGTGGCCCTCAGGTAATTGAGGATCTGGGGTACAGGGATACAATCCTCTATACAGCACCTACACAGCTGGATCTCAGCAGATGAGGACTGTTTAAGGACCAATTGAAATTTAACAAAGAGCTTTTATTTATATGCAAACTAATTGGTTACTGCATTATTTGGCACTAACCTTGTGCTGCAAGCTGATATTTTTACTGTATGAATTCACAAACTCACAAATCTGGATGATGCACATCCATCCGACCCGAGACGGGTTACCTGCACCTGGCAGGCATATGGCAGAATGGTAGAGGATTATATGTATTGCTTATATGCTGATACATGGCATGTTGGAAACTTTACCTGCATGACATACACAGGAGGAAATTCAAATTGAGATTGTAAAAATGAAAATCCCTCGGGCTCTACACCCTGCTGGTGGTGGTGGAAGCTGAAATCGATGACATGAGCTGAAAGTTGAGAAGATGCAGCAAGTCTCTGCTGATTGGCAGCACAGGTGTAAATGTGGCGGCTGCAGTTCATCAGGTGTGTAGTAGTGGGAGGACTGGAGTGAGATAGTGCCCGCGGGAGAACTGAGGATCAATCAATCATGTTTATTTCAAAACACAATTCAGCACAATTTCACAGAACAAAATATCAGACACAGTTATACATACATGTTTTACAAGTCGTCCGGACTGAATGTCCACTTAATTTTTTCAGCTCCATTAGCTACTCTTCAGCATAAAATGCATTAGGCCAAATAATACATATTTTGTCATAGCATATTCAAATTTGAATATCGCACAATTAGAAACACAATTCATTGTTACATTCACATTATTTATTCTGTTTGGGTTTAAAACCAGCCCAGTCAAAGTTGAGGACTTAACGATTTCCAGATCTTTGCACCCTGGACAGAGAAAACAGAATGTGGTTCTCCAGCGGCACTTTCACGTTTACACTGGAAGAGCCTGGAACTCTGAGCACACTCAGGACAGCCCAGGGGGCTCTACTGTGCAAACATATATACAATCATTTCAGATTACAGAATTTACTACAATTATCAAAACTAAGAAAATGTAGTCTCTGATATACCTGAGAATGGTGTGTTCTTAGTGGCTTTTCGTCCAACATTTGTATGGTTCTGTTGTAGAACATTCTCACTGGTTTTATGGTCGACCCTGTGGCCCGGGATCAGCAGGTGATACAGTAACTGATTTGAGAAAAAGTCATGGCGTGTGGGAAATGATTGTCTGCATCAAAAGGTAGACCGTTTGTAATTAATTTGAAGAAGTTTGTTATTTTATTCATATTAATTTACAACCAATCCCTTTTTGATCCAGTGGTACTTGGGGGTAAAGGTATTTTGTTAATTGGCACCTCAGGTGACGCTAAAAGTTACTCTGAAAACAATCTGTATTCTCACAAGTTCCTTTTTAATATAATTATTTTTGTCCTGCTGTTCTGGTGCGTCTTTAGCAATCGCTGTCTGTGAATGTAGCACATCCAACATTCACACTCCCACTGCTTCTTTACACGTTCGTACCTGCCGCACACTTGTGTAAGCTCTCACAGGGTTTTAACACCGCCAGCGCAATTGAATTCTATCAAATGAAAGAAATGTCTTCTCATTAGAACATTCTCAGAGGACTTTCATAAAATTCTGCTTACACGCTTGTTGGGCGTCAAAGAACTGAGAAGGTAGATGGATTCCTCGTCTTTCCACGCTGTCTTAAAAGGGAGATTTGCTGCGTTGCCATGGCAACAATGCGCACAGTGGGCAGGAGAGAGTTGGGGTCTCATCTGGCCGGAGCGCAACGATTTGCCATGCTCGTGCTCGCTCATTAGAAATTCAAATCTCAGACCGTGTCAAGGTTTTTTTCACTGTTATACCATCCACAGACAAAATTGTCATTTGTACCTGTAATGTTTTGTATGTCTAGGATGATTGTGATTATGATTATAGCATTTGTGATTTGCTCCTCTCTTTGAAACCTTCAACAAAAGCTTTGGTCAAGGTTCAGATCCTTCAAAACATTTCATAAACATAGTTACCAAAGTGCTGCACAATAAAAGACTATGTTTGATATACTATATTATTATGGATTTCAAACAAATCCATAATAATATAGTAAAATCATTACAAAACATATACGTATATGTTTTGGAGATAGTGGTAAATTTGAAACCGGTCCGAGACGTACTGTGGGGCCAGTTTGTTTTTAAAGGCTATAGAAACAAACAATAAGATCTTAAAATAAGTTCTAAAATGAACAGGAAGCCAGTGCAACGATGCCAGAATTGGTGTGACGTGATCGCACCTTCTGCTTCCTGTCAAAAGTCGTGCTGTTGAGTTTTGGACCAACTGCAGACGGGAAAGTGCGTTTTGGGGGACGCCCACATGAAGTGCGTTGCAATAGTCCAGACGTGAAGAAATGAAAGCATGAATGGCAAATGGTACTGAATTTGCAAACTTTTTATCTTAATTTTCATATACACTGGCTTTCTGTTAATTTTAGAATTTCTGTTGTTATTTGTTTTTGAATGGACGAGCCTGTTCCCGCGGTACATCTCGGCCCTCATCCAAATTTACTTTCCACACTGAGGTCCGAGGGCCAGCTCCAGCTCAGGATGCCTAACACAAGACATAAAAACCAGGGGGAAAGGGCCTTCTCTGTGACTGGTCCAAATCTGTGGAACACTTGTCTTATTAAGAAACACCGGTATTCTGTTTGTTTTCGGGGTTTTTTAAACTCTGAGTTGTGTGGTTATCGTTGTATTGGATTTATTTATTTCATATCATTTTGGTGTATATCCTTTGACTTGTAGCTGGCAGACATTTGTATTACTCTGGTTGTTAATTTTTCTGTGCCGCACTTTGGAAATGGTTTGTTTATGGAATGTGCTCTAACAATAAATTGGATTTTCTTGGATGTACAGTTAAATAAATGCTTCCATTTCTCTCAACAGAACACAAGCACTTTACCCCCTCTGTCGGTGAGTAGTGAGACAGATTCTGTTCCTAATGCCTCTGTGCTTAAATCTGACATGTGCAATGTCTTTGTGGAACCCACAGGTGTCAGTGAACGAGCACTCATCGCCTCCCGCTGCACAAAAGGTACTGTACCTATTACACTGAGATACTATATTACTGTATACAGTGATTCTCAAACTGAGGGCACAACAGGGGGACCCCTGTGATGACAGTTTTCAGAGTAGTCACACATCATAACCAGCCACAGCCAATACGCGGACGTGGAGGGCCTTTCAGATGCAGAGACGCCCTTCTGACGCCATGCTGTGCTTCCTGAGGGTCCCTGCTGCCATGTCACACCCTTTTGCCTCCTCCATATTATGGCCATTGTCTTGTCTGCTCACACCCCATGCAGGACACACCATAGGGGGTGGTGCCGGCGCTTCCTGTGTGGAGCAGGCTGTGGCCCCCTCCAATCTGTTGTGGGCGGGACTGACTTTCTTGTTGCTCTGTATACACGAGACTGGGGGCTCGGCCCCCAGAGCTAGGAGATACGACCTGTTGGTATGTGTCTGCTTCTCTCCTCACGCGCGTGTGATTCCATTAAACTTACGCTTTTGATTATGACAAACATCTCTGAGCTTTTCTACTGCATTGGGGTGTAATATTCCTCCACAATTTGGCGTTTGCTGACATGTCTTGGCATAGACACTTTTGGCGAGGACGAGCGGCTTTGTTTGGCCTACCTGGACGCACCAGCCTCTGCTCTATTTGGAGACAAAGGAGAGGAGAGCATGCTCGTCCTGCGCACGGAAGGAGTTCTTTTTGCCACACAAGACCAAAAGAACCTAATTGGGTGAGTTTGTTTTGTCAGTTTAGTTTGAGCTTAAACAGACAAACACTTAACAAAGAAGACACATGGACAGAGGACAAAGGACCACATGGCCACAAAATGGCCGCCCTACACAATGCTTGCAATAACCTAATTGGGTGAGTTTGTCTTTTCAACAGCGTAAAGGAGCCCAGGGCAGCGTTTAAGTGTACACGGGGATTTGTTTATTTATGTATTTTTGGGGTATTTCATTCACTGCCACAGCATAGACTGTGCAGGATTTTTTTGGGGTCTTTTTGTTCTAGATTGAAGCTAGCGGCTGCGCGTCAGTATCGTCCTGTAGACGACCCTGATTTCTCCAAGTGTCCTCAGCCGGAACCGCTCCGTTTTCAAGAACGCGCGCTCGCTGGTTGAACCAGCGTGGGGGGGAATGGAGCGCCCCAAAGTGGGTAGGAGCAGGGAAGACACTGAGCGGGTTAGGCCTATTGTTCTTACAAGGAAATGGGTAAAAATTCAATCTAGAAGATGCAAGCTATGCTATATGTCTCCGAATCATTTACGCATCTTGCGTGATAAACTTAGAAGAAGAAGGGAAGAAAAAAATATACTTGGTTTTAAGAATATCACGGCTAAAGAGGTTAGAGAAAGAAATATGTAAAACAATAGCTTCTCCGCTCTTCACCGAAGCGGAGAAACACACACACACACACACACACACACACATCCCCCCACCCTACCCCCCCTTTCCCCCTACTAACAATGAGTGTGCACCCAAACAAGGCGTTGGGTTTTTAAAAAATGAGCAGACTACTTTTCCCTCTTTTTCCTATTTCCCTCAGGTCTGTTGGCGTTTTCCTCTGCGCCCTGCTCTCTGCCCCAAAGCCCCACGCCCCAACCACAGGCGGCGCTAGCACCAGCTGAGACCCCGCGAGAAGTGGGACCAAACCCGGGAGCAGAAGAAGAAGTGGCGGAAGCAGAAACATGCTCAGGAAACCGCTGAAGAAAAAGCGGGGAAGCTAATATGTGAGACACCGACCACTGCTTTGGAGGCCAGAGACAAACTGCTCTAAATCCCGTGACTGTTCTCAAAGGAGGGGGCAGCGGGATATACCAAATGCCCGTGGAAAGTTGTTCCCCCACCGCAAACAGAAGAAGCCATTGAGCACAGGCTGCCCCTGGTCTCTCCAAGATGTACAGGATGGACCAAAAGTTGTCTCTTGGATTTTTAAATCTGTAGATGCTGTCTGGGCCTGCTGCGGACTTTGAAAGACTTCTACAGCCCGGCTTGAAAGACTGTGTGCTCGATATGCGTCGAAGGTCTGTACCGGAGGAGGCGTTAAAGGCAGACACACGGGGACAGAGGACGGCAAGGCAGGGCACGGAGGAAACACAAGCCACGGACCAAACCAACACATTCGTCCAAAGCGACCGCTCATGTAAGTTTTTAAACAAATTGCAATTGGCACTCGTTAGAGATAATTCATGCTGCATTCCCGTATATATATATACGCTAACAATCTGTGGTGTAAAAGTTAAAATTCTGGATGATTATTGGTCCGTTCTAAAGTGAGCGGTCGTTTTACAAAACACAGGGCTTCAGTTAGGGATGGGGAATTAATCGATTTTGATCATTGGTTCGAGGTTTACATTTGGGGTGATTTATTTTCTTTTAAAAATCCGATTTAACTACGCGCTAACCGCGGGTCTGTGGTGTTGAGCAGCCATTTCGAAGCTAACCTAGTGCTAACAGTGTCCCTCTGGCCTGATGCTGATGCTCACAGTTGGTGCTGTTGCTATAACACTTCAAACGTTCAAGAATCAGAGTTTATTTAAATCGCCAGAGCACACACTCGTGTCCCACTGAGCCGCTGCACTTTGGGGAAGACACGTCTCACACAATGCTCTCATTGCTCTGATACAGACAACGTGTTCCCCGCTAGCTGTTAGCTACAGTAGCTGCTACATTAGCCGTTAGCCACAGCATCAGAATGTAAACAGGAAGCTCGCACAATGCGGAAGCCACTGAAGCTAGCATTAGCGCCACCAGCTGGACCGAGCGTGGTACTACAGGGACAGTTGAAGGAACAAGCATGTACCCGAGGAGGCTTTTTGGAACAGAGTGTCCTTTAGAACATTTCTATTTCGAGTCATCAGTTTTTAAAATTGTGATATTTCATGTACATAATGCATGAGCTTAATAGGATTGATAGATTTGCGAAGCACCTCCTTGTGTGATTTAAGTTATTTGAAAGGTGCATAGGGTCATTGTAAGTGAAGTTATTATATACCTTTAAGCTACATTTTCGTAACAAGAGCTCATTAGAGATATAGGGGACACAACCATTTGTGATAAGCCCAAGTACCACGTGGTAAACACTAAAAGTTGGAAATGGATTTCTTTTTTTTTGAGGAACTCTGAAAGTTGCAACAATAGAATTAGCTCATGAGAGAATTGTAATTGGACATGGAAAATATAACAAAGTTAAAATCACAGGCCTTTTGTGTGTTACATGTTTGTGTTACATGTTTGTGTGTTATATGTTTTGTGTATGTTATATGTTTGTGTGTCATGTCAAAGTACACTACGCTGACCTTAACAAACTGGACCAAAATACTAACGTGGGAAATCGGCCTGTGATATGACTGTGATATGAGTGTGATGTGTGAAATGAGGAATGCTGAACGGAATCATGGAATAACAAATGTGTCTGTAATGTTTTAATGTGATCATGGAATGGTTGTTTTTTGTCAGCAGCATACGGTGTAAGTACTAGAGATTCAAAGATAACAAGCTTTATTGAACAGGTGTACAAGTGAGAGTACTCTGGGATGAGTACTCTGAGGAAAGTACTCTGCGGAAAGTACTCGGAGATGAAATATGAAGATATTGGAAGTTCCTCCCTGTGCTGTTTGTCCTGACAGCGACACAGTCCAACCGCAGTGAGCTGTCGTTGGCTGAAGGACAACTTGGTTTGTAAACTCACATTTAGGGGAGTATAAAATTAGAAATATACATTTTGTTGTTCTGTATTTGGCTACAGCCTCCGCCCTGATGTCAAACACCGTCTGTCAATGCAGTTATGTTTTGCCCAATTGGAAAAAAGATTGACAAGCGAAAGTGGGCATTTTTTGTGTTTTTTGTGTTCTAATATTTCTTTTTCAGATGAGAGATAAACTACCCCTGCTTTAGGGATGACAGTAGTATGGACCATGAGGAAATGAGCATCTACCTGGGCACCAAAGCCCACAATATGAATTGAGGACGATCCGGGACAAAGCAACTGGAGATGAACGGAACAGTTGGTACTTTTGCAGTCTCACGGAGGGCCACCGACCCACTGCTTACTTCTCAGCGAAGCTCGATGCCGTGGCAGCAGGAGTGCCTCGCTGCCTGCGGGCTGTGGCTGCCGCTGAGAAAGCGGCCCTAGCATCACGTGACCTTGTGGGATACACTGAAATAACTTTGCTTGTGCCCCATGCTGTGTCCCTGATCCTGCTAGAGCAGAGGGCCTCTCGCCTTTCTGCGGCTCGTTGGCTGGGGTACAAAGGGGAGACGCTGCTGTATCGCCACAAGAGAACAGAGATGCACTCCCAGGCCAGACCTGAAAGAGGCGCCTCTGACTAATCCTGACTTGATTGTTGTTTATACAGACGGAGCCGCGTAACGTGACAACACTGGGAAGAACCGAGTCGGCTATGCTGTGTGTTCTGATTTTGATACTATAGACTCTGGTTGAACGGCTGCTGACAGCTGTAATGTTGCCCTTAGAGATCGCTGTATGCAAATGCCACTGAGGGCCACAATAATGCCACTGATCCCATCTCTGCAGGGAATCGGCGCGCGGACAAGGGAGCGGCATACGCACCTCTACACACACACACACTACCTCACTCAAGACGTTGATATTTTCTCCTCTGTCAGCGATGCAGGCACTGGCTACTTCAGCAGAGACGCTGCTGTGAGAGGGGAATGGGGCTCGACGACGGCATGGTGTGTGTGGCTGGGACCAGGCAGCAAACCGTGCCTACCACGGCATTTCTTCAGACAGTTTGCAATTTTAGCACATGGTCGAGACCAGGCCTCGAAAGGAGGGATGATGTGTGAATTAATCACACAAAATTGGTATACAAAGGGGTTTACGGCATTTGCACAGAGATTCTGCCAAACATGCGCTATATGCCTCGCGCATAACCCAGGTAAGTCCCAAAAGTATCCAACAGGCTGCTCATCCTCCGCCCCTGCGCCCATTTCAACATGTCCAAAGGGACTTTTGTTGAACTCACATCATGCCAAGGTAAGTAATACTGTCTG